AAGCACACACACTTTCCGAAACCTCTAACCTCAGCCCAAGGAATGCACTGTGCTGGCTTTCAAACTTGCTCAAAATCGGAAGGTGAAAAGGGGGGCAAGGGAAGGAAAGGAGAAGGACCTTGTCCTTCAGCCCTCATTTTTGTTCATTAGTGGGCCTTCAAGTTGCCAATTATGAGGTCTGCTTTGTACCCATCGAGATGCACTTCTTGATATCAAGCAGAAAGGAGATTGTTTTTCACTTCGTTTTCAAATCACAATTCAAATGCTGTTTCTCAAGATAAGACTTTTTTCTTCTTCTTACGGTCCCTTCCACCATTTCCAAGTATCGTAAAATAAACCTTCTCCATTACTCTCCTGGTCAATAAACAGGTTAAGCAAACAAGGAAATTCCTCAAGAGAAGCCACAGATCCGAGATTGCAAAGAACGGCTGCAAGTCGGCTATTCAGAGGGAGGGATTTTGGTTTTGGGGTTTTTTTTCCTTACTGCGCTTATCTGTATCTTCACTGTCATCCAGACGTTAACCTCTGACCTACAAGCCTGCCTCTCTAAAAAGGACTTGCAGTGTTTACCTATTATGTAATGTCTGTGCTTTTGTGGAAATTTTACAGAAACAAATGGAGGAAGTTTGCCAGTCAAGCTCATGGACAATAAATCCTGGGCTGTAGAGATAGAGGCTCGTCGGCCCTCACCTTAAAAGCTCTACTTACGCGTTCACTGGAAAATATTTTTCAAACAGAAAAGTCTAGAAATCAACAAAATGCTAGCAATTGCAAAAGAAATATATTGCACCAAGAGATGTCCAAGGGGGGGAAGTGCTAAAAATTAGTTTTTGGGCTGGTCGCAAAATATTACTTTTCTAGCTAATTCACATTTGCAATGCCACCTTTGTTACCTTTTTTATGGAAACTCGTTTCCTAGAAGAAATGGAACACAATATTTTCTATATGCTTCTGCAAGCAGGCAATTCCCCTCCATTTGGAGAAAGCTAGAAAGTCCCATCATTTTTCAAAAGAAAGGTTCTGGGGGACAAACCTGTTTCAAAATGGAATGAAAGGAGGGAGAGTTTGCATGCTATTTGCTTACTACATACAACACTTGGAAAGGTTACACAGACTGAATGCAATCCACATAGCTGGTTTTCTAGTTCAGTACTGAGGCATGGAAATGTTGTATTTCCCTGACACACTTCTCACAATTCCTGTTGTTCTTTTTTGGTTTTTTGTGGCCATTATTTGCCATCAAATCAACTTCAACATTATTCACTTACTTACTTGTTTAGCCCACTTTATTCTCCTGATATAGGGACTTTCAATGAGAGATTTCCAAGTCACCCTATTATCCACATTCCTGCTCAATTCTTGCAAAATGAGGGCTATGGCTTACTTGACTGAACCAATCCACCTGCAATTTTGTCTTCCCCATTTTCTACTGTGTGCTATAGCACTAAACCAAGAACATGAGAAATTTCTTTGTTGACTTGTATTACGATCTGGTTCTTTTCCCATTTGATGCCACTTCAGATAGTTGTTTCTTGTTCCAAGATACAATTGCAAGTAGATTTAAATATTTTATGATGTTGATGATGATTTTACAAAGGCCTTTCTATTATAGAATGTACATTGAGATTATGCAAGGTTTCAAACAAAGGAGTGATTCCATAGAATTCTTACAAAAGACATGGACAAGAGATCTTGGTGTTGGAGCTTAGCAAATACTCCTTTATCAATACCAGGGCCCTCTGATGGTGCAGTGGGTTAAACTGCTGAGCTGCTGAACTTGCTGACTGAAAGGTCAGAGGTTCGAATCTGGGAGTGCAGTGAGCTCCTGCTGTTAGACCCAGCTTCTGCCAACCTAGCTGTTCAAAAACATGCAAGTGTAAGTAGATTAATAGGTACCTCTCCAGCGGGAAGGTAATGGCGGTCCATGCAGTCATGCTGGTCACATGACCTTGGAGGTGTCTATGGACAACGCCAGCTCTTTTGCTTAGAAATGGAGATGAGCACCAACCCTCAGAGTGATACAGGAGTAGACTTAATGTCAAGGGAAAACCTTTACTTTATCAATACTAAGCAATGCTTCTGTGGTTTTTACTGTGATTGGGTCTAAAGCCAATCACAGTAATACGTGTAATACATGCCACTTTATGCTTTATAATCACACTGTTTACACAATCTGTCTCCTGTATACTTGGATCTCATAAAAGCCTCACCCTCTTGCACATCTCCTTATTCTCCTGCTCCTACCACCAAAGTGGCACAAAGTGGACTTTTCATTATGGCAAAATCCTGTTTTTCGCTCGAGTTTGCCCATTTCACTCCAGACAACCTTTTAGAAGGATCATGAGCCTCACAGTGTTTGAGACATCATCGGCAAAAAGATCCAAGCAGTATTTATATCAGACAAAGAATTTTACTGCTTACAATATTTTAAAAGAAGGAATTTTTATTACTGACACTATTAAATGGAAATATTACATGGATGGATGTACACTGCCAAATAATGCAGTTGGGTCTACACTGACATTATATGGGTCTACACTATGTTGCTGCTTGTTGGCAGTGACATAGTGATAAGTCAGCTGGAAATGTGGAGAGTATATCGCCTGTTCTGTTGACCCACACTAACAGTTGGATGAATGGTTTCTGTGCAAATCAGAACCAATTTCTGATTGAAATTGGTTCTGATTTGCAGGGGTTGGACTAGATAGTCCATGTGGTCTCTTCTCCCTCTAATATTTCTTGAGTCTATGAAATCCAATGATGTGTCATATGGACTCCCCTCAGCAGCTGAGTAGTGAGCCCACTTTATTTTGGCTGTGTAGATATGGCAAAAGCCTGAAATATAGATTTCAAAAGCAACACAAGCAGTGAAAGACCCATATTGTAGAATATGGTTCTAAACTGAATGCAACTGAGTTTTTAAACTCCTCTCTTCTTCCTCTTGTGGCCCTTGACCACTTATGAAAACTATGTTTTTCTTGGTGGCCTGGGGCACCTCTGCATGGAGCTGTAACAGGCACAAGAAACCTGCCTTGTTGGCTCTCCTAATGGAAGCAGTTCTGCTGGCACAAATCCTACAAAATGGACAAAGGCCATTTTTTAAAATATGGTTTAAAGAATGAATCATTTTAATCTGAATGTCTTCTGAATGAGCAGTGAGATAGGTAATAACAAGCATACTGGTTTTATATTTTTCCATTGTCAAGGCTTCCTGTGTACCTGGGAGCAAAATTCTGATCCCACTGAAGCCTTCCTATTAACGGAAAATGCAAGCCGGCATTTGCTCCAGGCCTTTGCTTGGTTCAATGTGCTTTGCTTTTTTGGCCTTGGTGGGAACAAAGTTGGCCACTTAGATCTTGTTATAATTAAGTTTTCTCAATCTCATTTCCTTTTCAGAGGAGAGAAAACATATTGTTGTGAGTAAGCTCCGGACGTGGCAATAAGTCCCTGGCAAGTTATTTTGTTCTAACAAACACATTACTTTTAAGGAAACTTTTACCATCTTTTCTGCCCTTCATCATGAGTTTTATTGCAATTACAGCAATGAAGCAGAGGCTAATGCCAAAAGTAACACACATACATTTTTAATGAGTTGACACAAACTTCCTGGGGAAGAGGAATAAATTCATTTGCAGAATATTTCTGAACCATACCTAACAGGTCATTAGAGGGCAAGAGGATATGCTCATAACCGTATTTGTTCCCATTTTCTCTTACTGCATACACTCACAAAATGGTAAAGCCACGATAAAATAGGCAAGATTGCTGACCAAGATACTGTCAGTTATTGTTAATCTGAAGCATATGCTACGGGCCATACCACTTCCTAGATTACTTACCAATACAGGAAAGCCTAAGAGTTTGTTACTATATAAAACCTTTTTTTTCTTTTTCAAAGTCTTAATGTTTGTGGGCATTTCCTCTGAACTCAGTCAACCGCAATGATTCATTTCTAAGGAAGGCCACTCATTGAAATCAACGACTACTTAATTTTATTTAAAGGGAGCTAGTAAAGTACAGCCAAATAAAATGAGCCACTCTCAGTATGAGTTGAATACTTAAAGAGATTCTGAAACCTGACAGAGGGGAGCAAATTTCCAGTTGTGTAAAGTTAATGGAGTCTAATAAAACTCTGCTGTAATAACTGCACCAAATACTATAGTTTTTTTCATAATCCGTAAATTATGCATTTGTTTATTGCTTCTCAGTCTTCCATGGTCCCAATAGACAGCTCAAAAACATGCAAATGTGAGTAGATCAATAGGTACCCTCTCCGGCGGGATGGTAATGATGCTCTATGCAGTCATGCTGACCACATGACCTTGGAGGTGTCTACGGACAATGCTGGCTCTTTGGCTAAGAAATGGAGATGAGCACCAACCCCCAGAGTCGGACACGACTCGACTTAATGTCAGGGGAAAACTTTTACCTTTACCTTTAATGTGATAAAATTTGGTCAAAACACTCATTAAAACAGAATTAACACAACTGTTTAAATATCTATCTATCTATCTATCTATCTATCTATCTATCTAGCAATGAACAAAATCAGGTGAACAAAAGTAAGAGTCTTGGCTGCATGCTGGAAACCAAAGATGGATGAAAGTAACTTGCTTTCCTTGGAAAAGCCATAGTTACTACAGAGAAATCCGTGTCTTTGGATATTAAAAACTCAAAACTTGGGGGGAGATAGTTTTCTATTGCTGACCTTGACAGCAAACACTAGCACCACATTAGGATGAAGCAAGCCTTCTCTAACCTGGTATCACCCAGATGCCTCATCCTCAACCAACATGCTTATGGAGGTTGTAGTATAGCATATACAGATGGAATCAGGTTGGAAAAAGTCACAGTACGCAAAGAAATTCTTTTTAAAAATTACCAATGATTATTTTCTTAACATTTTAAAGGTAATTATTTCCCTTACTGTCTGTCAAAGGAAGGTGTTAGATAAGAACATTTGTAGGGAAGGAGAAGTCTAACGTGCCACATCTACTCACCTATACAATCTATGTTAATCAAATCCACTGTTGCTGCTAGTGAATTTTCATCACTGCATTGTTGGCGGAGCACGAAGCGCACAAGGAAGTTTTTGACCCTTTCTGGGAGAAGTGTAAACAGGTACAAAGGCATGTACACAATGTAGCGAAACTGGCACATCAGCGGAGTCATGATCTTGCCTTGTGGAGACTGAGCCATACGTTCAATTGTAGGAAACAGTAGAACAGTACGGAGAATCTGGAAGGCACAAAAGGGACAACAATCAAATGACACAGATGTAACCCAAATAATACACTGTATTCAGTAAAAGCTGTGTTCTGTGAATAGTTCCCCCATCATTTATTGTGGAAATCCTGGAAAACAGAAGGAAAGTTCTCACCAAAGATCACAATCCTATATGCAATCCTGTGTGAGTATACACCATTAAATTCAATGGGGCACATTTCTGAATAGACATGCATTGGATTGTGCTACAATGCGGCTTAAAACTATTAAAATCCCATTTATCTCAATCAATAATGAATAGCTTCATTCACCACATCTTGGGATAAAGCGACTCATGGAAAAGGCAGAAGCCCATGGAGATCTTTGTCCTGAGGAAAACAACTCTCTCACACTCTTTTGCTACAGTGAGTGATGCTATGTAGTAAAGGGATATCATTCCATGCAGGAAAGGAGGCTTGGGATATTATTTTTTAGTTGGAGAACACAGGCTTTAGTTCAACCCATTGATTCCATCTTGGGAAAGCATGTATTTCTATGTCCACCATCAAGACCGGCATTTGCTATTGGTTAATTTAATGTAGGGTGCTCCCGGTGGTGCATGGATTAAACCCCTGGGTTACTGATCACGTTGACCAAAAGGTCAGCAGCTCAAATCCAGGAAACGGGATGAGTTCCCACTGCTGGTCCCAGCTTCTGCCAATCTAGCAGCTCAAAAACATGCAAATGTCAGTAGATCAATAGGTACTGCTTCGGTGGGAAGGTAACGGCGCTCCATGTAGTCATGCCGGCCACATGGTCTAGGAGATGTCTATGGACAATGCCAGCTCTTCAGCTTAGAAATGGAGATGAGCACCATTCTCCAGAGTCGGACAGGACTAGACTTAATGTCAAGGGGAAAACTTTACATTTACCTAATTCAGTCACCTGTTCTCATCAGGGGTAGGGAAGTTTAGGGCTGGCATGGCCCTCACACCCTGAAGCAGAACCCAGGTCAGGATCTTTGGCAGGACCCCAAACTAAGGTTAGGGACAGTGTGATGCTCTACAGACTTAAAACGAAATATATCAGTTTAAATAATGACACAAAATCATATTTGTATTTCTTATCAATTATGTGGATTGGCATAATAAGAACTTAGAGTAATATCAAATATTTTCCAAAAGAACCTCCCGACAGAGCTTTTTGACAATGGAATATGCTGGAATCTCCTTCTCTGAAAGTTTTTAAACAGAGGATGGATATCAGTCATAAGCGGGCTTGGATTGTGTCTTCCTGCATGGCAGAAGACAGCTGGACTAGATGGCCATTATGGTATCTTCCAACTCTATTATTCTATGATTTTGTCAATTCAAAATTTTGAGTTATTTTGGTAAAATCAACTTGCTCAGCTAAATCATTTTTAATGCATAGAACTGCTAGATGATTAAGTCGCTCTTGACTAGTTGTGCTTTTTTGCCCTGTTTTTAATGTATTTGCCAGTCTGCTGAGTGTTATCTTATCTGAAGAAACAGTAACCGGTACTGTACAAAACAGTTCAGTGGTAAGGCAAATATACCATGCAGGTTTTTTTGGTCATAAATCATATCCAGAAATTTAATTGAGCTTCTCTCAATGCCAACACTTCTGAATTCTTTTAAGGAGAAGGACTTCATGCAGTAAATCTTCTAGCAAATCTTTCACATATCTGTTTACAGGTTTTACAGCATTTGTTGTCCATCAGCACAAATGAAAGTATGAATGGCGACAAATCACAAAGGTGAAACAAAAAGTCAGTATGATGAGGGAATAATGTAATGTGCCTACTGAAATAACTAATTTTGGTTGGCGGGACAAAACAAAGGGTCATGGATGGAATGTTATCACAATCATAAAATATGTTGAACTTAAACTCCTTTGTATTGTCTAAGGCTTTCATGACTGGAATCACTGGGTTGTTGTAGGTTTTTTCAAGCTATATGGCCATGTTCTAGAGGCATTCTCTACTGACGTTTCGCCTGCATCTATGGAAAGCATCCTCAGAGGTAGCGAGGTGAGGCAAATATACCATGCTTGCCATAGATGCAGGCGAAACGTCAGGAGGGAATGCCTCTAGAACATGGCCACATACCCCCAAAAAACCTACAACAACCCAGTTAAACTCCTTTCTTTTTCTGGTATATTGCAATGGCAGGGAACTTCCAATTGTAAACCTTTCATATAAACCTTTCATATCATTCTTTCATCTATGTAGAATGATAGAATTATGTAAATAAATGGTAGGAGTTATAATAATCACCACAATAAAAACAACTTGTGGGTCTGTGTGAAAATTCAAGTTCTGATCAGAATAATTGGCAGAAAGCAAAAGAAATCCTTTCCTTTTATAAATCATACAGTGTATATTTGAAATAGCTTAAAGAACTACATACTCTGTTGTATACAAATGGGGGACAGGCTGCATGGCCATGTGTGACCATGCATAATTTGTGCAGGAGATATTAATCTTGTGAACAGAAATTATGCTGGTAATTGTTTTCATCTGCCATTACTTTGTCAACTCAGGAATGAAATCACTAATCCCTAGAAACATTGGTGCTCATGCTCTTTCTCCTCACCTTGCACTATAAATTCACTGTGTGACCCACGGTATATTTGCTTTTATATGCAATGTCATGAGAGAATCCAGAAGAGCGATTTTTTTCCAGAGTGCTATCACCGTGCATGTTACAAAATGGCATGTATATCTGGATTTTGACAATAGACATGCTTATGCTTATACACAATGTCAGCTGAACTTCATTCTGCCAGTGAATGATCCAGTTCTTAATGTATTCAAAAAAGATTCAGCCAACTTTCATTAATTTTTCAAAGGTTTACCCAAAACAAACATTGTAAAGACAATGCATGCCTCTTAACCAAATCTCTAGAGTCTTACAAACTCATCACACAAGGTGAATTCAGCGTCCTAGCATGCTGCCAGAACACTTTCTCCCTAGAGCTTGCCAGACACCATCACATGACGTAAGTTCTGTTGGTGATCCGTGGAGGAAGCACCCTGACAGCATGGTAGGACACTTCCCTAAGAACACAGGATGCTTCCCATGTTCCATAGAAAACAATGGGGTCAGCACAGGGGGAAGCCATGGGGTGATGCTTCCCCATCTGTGAGGAGAAGCATCATTGCAGGTGAGGCGTGATGCTGGGATTGCTCTGCTGCCTCACCAATTCTCTATGGAGCTTGGCGAATTACCCCGTAGGACTTCATCAATGTAATGAGGTTCTTAGTCATTCTTAACCCACCATGCAAGTGTTCATCCAGTGTTTCCAAAAGATGAAGTTATTTGGTTTTATCTTTTTACAGGATATAAAATTTAGATTACATATCTTGGGATACCCATAGGCCACATACACCTGTGATTCAGTGGACTTTTGACAATGCATGTGCTATTCTCTGCTCATGTACTTAAAACAATATAATTGGCATAAAATCAGTTTGTCTGGAATTTGACAAAATGCCTAATATATTCCTGAATGGCAGAAGACTGAACTGGATGGCCCTTGTGGTTTTTTCCAACTCTATGATTTATTATTGTTCTGATACACCAAACAGACATCAGAGAATGCTGATATTCTTCAAAATGAGTATGAGAGCATTGAGAAGCATTCATATATGCATCATGGCAATCTGCAAATTTTGTACAGTTTATATAACATATATACACATTTCAGAATATACCTGTCCTTAAGATTAGAAAGCAAAGGGAATGATTTTAATGACTCCTGAGGAAAATACTGTATTTTCCTAAAATTTTACATTCATACAAAGTTTTCTTTCCTACCCCAAAGGACCCCATCAGTGCTTGGATAAGCAGTCAGAAACACATTTTGCATGTGATTTATGTTTGCAGACAGGGTCTACAAGTTACCGATAGACAGCCCACAGAAACATTTCCTAACTGCAGTCACTAAATTCCTTGTATTCCCCCTGCAGTGAAATTTCACTTCTCAATGAATGTAGTACTTTACTAAATGCCAAAGCAAGTCTTCGAGGTTCCAGCTTGAACACCTGTAACAAGATTCTAAATACCCTTTCCCTTAATGCAAAAAGGAAAACTAAACACCTACTCTTCATAGTGCAAGCAAGTGCAATGCTGTATGTGTTACTGCGCATAATGACAAAGAGCAATGTTGTTGGTGTTCTGTCATGCTGGCACAAGGGTTTCAACTCATTTTGCCACCGGGGCAAATATATATATATATATATATATATATATATATATATATATATATACACGCACATACACACACACACTCACACATACACACACACACACAGAGAGAGAGAAGAGTAGAGAAGTTCAAGACAGATAGCACTATGCTGAGAATCTTAACTGCAAATATGGATCGTGAAGATACTCCCAGCCCATAGTTTTTATATCCAAATTGTACACAAAAATTTAAAACATGTGCAAAACACAACTCAAAATCTCTATATAGCAAAAAGTCAGTTAGTTTCTAGATTTTATTTCAAGTGGCAAAGACAATTTGCTGTCAACCTTTTCCAGTAATCACTCTCTCCCCTGTACCCATAGTCTACACAAATGCTCTAATAAAAGAGGTGTATAGTTGCTTTGTAACGGCACTCCATGCAGTCATGCCAGCCACATGACCTTGGAGGTGTCTACGGACAACGCTGGCTCTTCGGCTTAGAAATGGAGATGAGCACCAACCCGCAGAGTCGGACACGACTGGACTTAATGTCAGAAGAAAACCTTTACCTTTACCTATAGATGCTTCATATAGGAGTCAATGACACAGCCATCATACAATATGACTACCTAAACTCATATTTTTGTTCTAATTGTTTTTACAGAAATTGCATGTTTTGTCTCATTTTCAAATGTGTTTGAAATAGCTTCTTGTCTTGCAGAATTTAATATTCCTTATTGTAATTCCTGTCATGGAGAAAATTGTAATGCTTTCTCATCACTATATCACATTTTGTTTTAGCTTCTTTCAATAAGCAAACAATA